TGTGTGTGTGTGTGTGTGTGTGTGTGTGTGTGTGTGTGTGTGTGTGTTTAAAACTGCTTCCTAAGAGAAAAGTTTGGTTCTTGAGTTAATGTTCAGTGAATGTTTTTTCTTCTTGATGTAATTCAACTAGGTTGTTAACTTGGATTGTATTTACTTCTGGGTAAAAGTAACCAAGAGTGTTAAAAACTAAAAAGCCTTGTTTGAAGTAGAATGAAAGGTGAAAAGTGTAACATGAGACACACGATACCACGTAGGGGGAAAAGCAGCAAAGCAATGTCCTCCATCATTTAGTGACAAAGGCCAGACACAGGGAAGTGCGTGAATTTGGCCTAAATTTCTTGGCTTCTTGTTCTTTCCATTTAGTTATTTGTGGCAAAGTCTCAGTTAACTAGATAATATCTGTGTGATGATAAACAGCCCATCTCTGAGAGGCTATATCATCTGCAAAATTCCTCATTGTTCTCTCCTCCGTTTGGACCCCCTCCAACACTACACACACACACACACACACATACATACACACACACACACACACACACACACACACACACATTTTTGCTCAGTTGGGGACCCTTTCCCCTCCTTTAATTTGGAACAAGCTGCCTTTGCCTCTATGCCTTCCTCTCCTAGCACCAGGAAGGACATTTGGTCCTGGCAGACCTATCATAGTTAAGAAATCAGGGATCCACTTTGGAGCATTAGTTATTTTAATAAAATAATTTAAAAATGAACTCAGATGGAAGCGGGGGCCGTTTTATTAGGTTTGAATTAAAAAAAAAAAAGAAGCAACAGAGTAGGTGAGGTGAAACTCCCAGCAGCGGCCGGAGGGAGATGGAGAAGAGAAAGAAAGAAAGCCTCACAGAGTCCAGGAAAGCAGCAATGGAGGTCAGCAAGCAGCTGAAAGGCAGAAGGAGTGGGGGAGTATTCAGAAACAGAGTAGAAAAAAACCCCAGAGTGTTCCAGGAGGCATGCTCATGCTTTTGGTCAGTATCCAAATGAAAGAGAGAGAGGAAGAAAAGAATTAGATGTGAGAAAACTGGACCGGCTCTGTACTTACATGGCCTTGGTCTCCTGAACACATTTCTCTCCTCTGTGTTCCTCCCCCTCTCTTATTCTTTCTGATGTTTCCTTTCCCAAAGCCACTGGACCCCCAAACAATTGATCTAATCACCTTTTAGCCTTCTGTTATTTTGCTTCTGGGTTTCCTTGTATGGCCTTGCTGGAACTGGATTCTCTGCTTTCATATTATTATAGCTCCTCACATACTTGTCTCAACCTTCATCTCAGGTCTCTGGAAAACCTTGACCAAGTAAAATCTAATCCTCTGCTCACTCCATACCAGTCTCCCGAAAGCTGAACGACACTAGGTCAATACCTATAACCATGACCTCTAGGCTTGTGTTAATGTATCACCCTCCGCCTCACGTGGATCCTTTGGGTTGGCTGGCCATCCCTTTCAGCTCCTCAGTTCATTCAGCCTTTCTTTTTCTAGAAAGCTGTTTTTCAAGTTGAACACTAACAGCTGAGATATACTGAAGCGGCAGGGAAGTTTGGGTTCACAGCACATAAGCTACATATAATTTTATGAGCTGCTTACTCCAGTGATGTGAATATGCATGCATTCATCCGCACACTCATTTCTATGAAGATACACGCAGATCTGGGATGGGAAGCACACTGTGTGCATCTAATTCAGTGACTGGTGTATAGTAGGTTTTGAACTTAAATCCAACTAAGGTTTTGCTCTTTAAGCTGCTGTAATCTTTAAGCTTCACTGTATAGTGACATGTGGCTTTTGCTACTTACTAAACAAACAGGTTGAGTGCCTAGGTGTGCAGATAGTATGCAAGAATGAGCTCATTGCTCTGTGAAAGGAAAGCAGAGGAATGTGGCCACGGCATAATCCAGGCTACTTTTGGAGGATGGCTGCTCAGCAGCTTTGTTCAAAAGGCACATTCCACAGAAGAGTGAAACACTGAGGGGACGAAACCAAAAGCACAGAAGTCTTCCACACAATCAGACTTGACATTCAGTTCATGCTTCCTCGCCGCATGTCTGCTGTGCTTGTGCCTAAGTTTCCCACGGCAATTTGTGGCCTTCAGGCATTTTCTGAAAACTGAGTTCATTCCACAATCCGTTTTAGTGACAGTTAGGTGCCACGTGTTATAGTTACAGCATTTGGGGGAATCCCGAAATAATACACACTGTTGTTGGCTTCTGAGAACCCACAGTTTAATCACTGTATCAGACCCGGTGATGGACCCATGGGACCCAGGACCAGAACTATGGGAAGGTGAGCACAGGCTTGTTCTGGAGCAGAGTGGGGGCTGACTTCTCAGTTGAAGTCAAGGGGAGTTGAAGCAGCGGAGACAGTCCACAGCAGTGATTCCGAGATGAACTTTGAAGGATGCATAAGAAGAAGCTTGTTGAACAGGCCGGAGACCCACCAGACTGCGGCGGGAAGTGGGATGAGGCCACTGAGTGTCTGAGGGTTACAACTTGGCATGGACTGGGATAGGACCAGAGATGAGGCACAGGAGATACTGAGGCCTTGCATGTTGACGCTTAGGCTTCGTCCTGCTGGAGATGACCCTCCGGAAGCAGAACCTTGGTATCATTTTCAAGGGTTGTCCACATGCATCAGTGTAAAGCCATGCTGCAGAGCCTGAAAAACTTAAAAAAATATTCATTTTATCATGTTCATGTGTGTGTGTGTGCATGTGGGTATGTGCACAGGGATACAGGTGCCCAAGGCCAGAGGCATGAGATTCCTTGAAGCTGGAGTTACAGAGGGTTGGGATCTCCCTGACATGGTTGCTGGGAACTGAAGCTGTCTCCTCTGGAGGAGCAGCAAGTGTCCTTAACTGCTCATCCGCCTCCTCAGCCCCTGGAGCTGGAAACTTAAGTGTAAGCAGCAAGACAGCAGAGTGTTTGATAGAAATTGTCTTAGAGGAAAAAAGTAAGGAAGTCTTATTTCTCATCACCAATTTCACTTTACTTAGTTCAGATCTACTTCTGGCTCATACTCAAAAATTGAATCCAAGAAATCCTGCTATTTCCCAGTGGGCCAATAGTTCCTATAAAAACCACTCTTATGAGATTTCCTGGATATGAAAACTTTCTTGTCCTATATTTACAGATTGATGTCAAAGATTTTTGTAGGGTCTGTCCTCCACTTGAGGTCTAAGAATAGTACTGTGCCACATTCAATGTAGGCTGATGAGGAGTCTGGCAGAGAGAGATAGAGAGAGACAGACAGACAGAGAGATAAACAGGCAGAGAGAGACAAAGAGAGGCAAAGGGACAGAGAAACACACAGAAAGACAGACAGAGCATTAGACAGAGAGAGACACAGAGAGAGAGAGACAGAGAGAGACACTCACACACAGAGAAACAAGAGTCTCTATCAGTAAGATTGCCTGATTGCCACCCCATCTTTCCCCAGATGGGCTTATCTGGACAAAGGTTTTGTTTTGTTTTGTTTTGTTTTCCAGAATACTCTCAGTCCTTCAGCATATTGTACAATACACCACAAGACGAAATGACTCCTCAGCTAGCAAAAGCGCTGAGGATTTCTCTACCCTGAGACACTTCCACTGGGCTTAGGGTGGGGCAGCCGGGAAAGTCTAAAGACAGTCTATTTTCAGTGTGCTAGATGCACAACACCCTAGTGTGGAGTCAGGGTCTGCGCTGTGCCAAGATCGTGAAGTGGAACATGTTCTCCGCAGATGGAAAAAACATTGTCTCTTTCCCAATCACTCGCTGTGGGATGTCATGTCTAATTGACCTTTGAAACTAAAAAGTCAAACATGACCACCCCTCCCCCGTGTGTGTGTGTGTGTGTGTGTGTGTGTGTGTGCTTTTTGTGTGTAGGCACGTGAATGTATTTAGCATGTGCAGTTACACACACATGTAGAGGCCAGAGGACAAGCTTGACTTGCACACCTGTACAAAAATCTTTAAAATACCCAAGGTCTCTTGTTGTCCTGGCCTGACACTTGCCAAGCAGCCGAGGCTACTCAAGAGCCAAGCATCTGTCGGTCTCTGCTTCCCAGCCAGTGGATTACACACACACCACCACGCCGTGACCATACACTTGCATGCTGGGACTGAGCACAGGTCCTCATGCTTACAAGGTAAGCTCTTCAACTGACCGGGCCAGCTCCTCCATCTCATCATCTCATCTTTACCTGACCGAACCATCTTCTCTAACCACCTCCCCGTTTCCAGATAACACTTGATATTGAGAATCTTTGAGTAGATTTTCCCTTTTCTTTCTATTTTGATGACTTGCTTCTAAGGTGATATTTGTCTGTCGAGAACTACTGTCTTATATACATGTAATCACAAGCAGTGCAAAATATAGAACACTGTGGTACTTAGAAAATAGCTTTTAAACACATTAGCAAATCTATAACCAAATGTCACATTTCCTTAGTATGACCACACTTTGGCTAGTGTGAATCCATCCATCCATCCATCCATCCATCCATCCATCCATCCATCCATCCCATCATACATACATACACATGCACACACACACACATACTCCTTGATAAATCCAATTATTAAGAAAAAAAATGGAAATGACAGTGGGATTTCCTATTTACCACCATTCCATCTACTTACCCTTTTTGTCTTAAACAATTACTAAATCAGCATGGATGGAACATCAGCTAAAGCCCACAGTGCCTCACAGTTCCTTAGCCCATGACTAAATGAACACAAACTCTTGTAGGAAGAGCCCCAGATACGCATTACATTTAATCCTCAGTCTTCCGAAGCCTTCCCTTGCCTGTGGCAGTTCCTCACCGGAACCTTGTTTCCGATGACCTTGGCGGTGCTGAAGTGTATTGTCAGGCATTTGGCAGGGTGTCTGTCTATTGGGCGTTAGCTGAGGTGCTGGAGTTATGGATAGGGATACAGAGACTTTGAGAGAGTGCCATTTCATCGCACTCCGCCCAGCAACCTGACTTATCACTGTGCTTTCTGCCTTAACCATCCAGCTTAGACACTTTCTTTACTGTGAACTTTCTCTTTCTTCTTTCCTCGATGAACTCTTTGGGAATGAGTTATCATTTTCAGTCTACACTTAGGAAGTGGGAACTTGGATTCTGCCCCCTTGAGGGCATCATAAATTATTTGTAACTCTACGAAAGATTTGTTTCTTCACTCCCTTCTATTTATTGATTTATGAGTATTTGTTTTATAAATTTTGTTTACTTTATTGCTTAAACTGTTCCAGCATTGACTGTTGGGAACTCTTTCGAGCTCCCTGACCCTTTGGCAAATGTCTATGAAGTCTTTTTCCCTCCTTCTGAGCAATTACTTGGCTTCTGACCCTGTGAGACACTTGTGGCTCCTTTTGTTATTTCCTGTCCCCATTTTTGGACCAGAGGTCGATCCAAGGCCACAGCAGCAGTGGCAGCAGAAGAAACCAGGCCATGGCCAGCTCCAGCTGTCTCTGGGACAGAAGGTTACGAGGTCGTGTGGTGCAGTGGCCCTGGCGCTCCTAAATTATTGTAGCTGGCGCCTCCATATGTTAAATCACATGGTGTGGGAGCTTCCTTAACTCGGGGGATTTCTCTGAAGGCTGTCTCTCTCCTCCCCCACCCTGTCAATGTGGCCAATCTCTTATTCTTATTTTAAGCTACCTTTTGAAACAGTGGTGCTGCTATGTTTTAAAGGGAAGCCACCCTCTTTAAGGCCAGTCATGTTGTCTCTGATATGATGTGCCATCTCTTTCTAATGATCTCCACTTCAACACTGGGTCAGGTCATAGCTTCCCTGGCCACTAGGTCCTCTGTCTAATAAAGTTCATTCCTGAAAGGTAATTTTGTCTCAGTCACTTTCCTGAGATAACCGCTGCCACTCTGTTTTTTCTGACAGGCAGATCTTTTTTTTTCTTTTACAATGTCTGTATGGGCCGTAGATTAATTCCCCACTTGCTTATTGAAGATCCCTTAGTTATTTACAGATTGATATGGGGTGGGAAATATGGTGGCCTTATGGGTCTGCCTTTTTAAGCCTCTGCAAAATGTGACTCATGGCCATTTTCTGGGAAACTGGGAAGGGAACTAGCCAGAGTCCATCATCCTGGTCAGTGTTTCATTAAAGCTTGTTCAAATTTGGCTCAAAAATTGTGGAGCTAGTCTTTCATGGTTTTCAGGTTTAAGAATATCTGAGGAAATGTGGGCATTTGAACTGAACAAAATTTGGACACCTTTGCTATGAGTTAGACTGTGGATACCTTTTTGAGAACAAGGATATATACTTCCATCTTCTGAACTGTACCAATCGGGCCTGGGGCTCACGCTTCCTGTTCACATACCTGTCTGCCTCATACCTGAATGTATATGCTAGTCTCTGGTCAATTTTGTAATAGCTGTGTCTTCACCTTGGGGAAAAAAAAAAAACAAAAAAAAACCAAACAACCTTTCATTAGGGAAACGCTCACTTTTTCCAGTTTTAAAACATTAAAACTATTTTACTAATTTTGGGTCTGGCTGGTGGGGCACTATGCAGTAACAAGAATTTGGGGTAGAGCTTTGTACCCCAAGGATCAACACGGTAGCCCCCACCCTAAAATCACAGGAGGGAAAAGAGGGAGAGTGTTAACAGGATAGCCGTTGTCTTCAGCTCACTGTGTACTTAGGGGAGGGGCCTGATTTCATTCTTCCTGGCTTTGGTTTGCCTGTGGTGGTTCAGAGTCCCCCGGAAGTTCATTTGTTGAGATTGGATCTTTACCATGAGATACCGAGAGAACAGAAACTTGATCTGACTGCAGTGTTAGAGGTGGGGATTTTGGGATGTAACCACGATTAGACAGGACATCAGGGCGGAGTCCCTATGGCGAAATCTTGGTGGTAACATAAGGAGAGGGAGACACGTGACCTACATCGTAGCACGTGAGGCTCTGCTCTACTCTGCCTTAGCGTTCTCGGAGCATGCTCGTGACCATCGCTTGGGACTCCCTTCCCCGGGTCCGCAGAACCATGAGCTAAAAACAAATATCTTTCTTTATAAAGTAGCCTGCCTCAGGAATTCTGTTACATTAACAAAAAAATGACTAATATACCTCCGCATCACCAGAGCACAGGAAACATATGTATTAGTCAATAAAAAGATGCTTGGTGGGTAGTGAAAGAGCAAATGACAAAAGATTGAAGGCACTGGAAAATAAATTTAAAAATCAGGAAGGACAAAAGTCTTGGAATAAAAATTTACATTATCTTCCTCATTTCTTTTTGCTTTCTCCCACGGACAAGACAAAATGTTTGATTTAATCAGAGAAACTACTGACCTAATCACATGATAAAGAATTCCAGGGACAGCTATATATGGAATTGGATAGACTTTCTTTTCTAATTTGGTTAGAAAGGATATTACTTTCCTTATATTTATATTTATTTAAAAATGTTATTTATTTTTGTGTTTTGAGACAGAGTCTCTTTAAATAGCCCTGCCTGGCCTGGAACTCACTATGCAGATTTGGCTGTCCTCTAACTCATAGAAATCTGCCTGTCTCTGCCTCCTGAGAGCTGAGATTAACAGCGTGCCTTACCATGTCCTTTAAATACCTCCCTCTCCACCTCCCTCTTCCTGTCTCCTGTCCCTGTGTCCCACCCCCACCCCAAGTATATGATACACGTACATGTAGAAGTCTGAGGACAGCTTTCAGTAGCCAGTTTTTGCCTTCCATCTTGTTTTGTGGCAGAATTTATCTTGTCTCTTCTGGTTCACTGCATACTCCAGGCTAGCTGGTCCAAGAGTGGTTGGCTGATTCTTTTTCTTCCATGCTCCATCTTCCTTTAAGAGTGCTATACTTACAAATGCACGCTCTTGGACCTGCCTTTTTATATTGGTTCCAGGGATCTAAACCCCAGTTTCCAGGCTTGCATGAGTGATTTTATCCACTGAGCCACTTCTGGGGCCCAATGTTTAATTTTTATAAAATTCATATTATTTTTATGATGCTCATCTGTATTAATGCAGACTGTGATGTGTATTAGCATAATTTAAACAATGTTAGTAAATGTTGTTTTTATTTCCTCTTGTGGGGCAATGAGATGAGAGCCATACCCAAGCTTTATTAATACATGGCTTGACCTGAGCCCTGAGCATTTTTCTCTAGCTATCCTAGGCCTAAGCCTGGAAGCTTCTAGCCTCCATACAATCAAATCTCCTATGAGCCAGGACCTTGAAGGCTTCAGCTTCCAGCCTCCATCTGCTAAACTAGGCCTAGGATGTTTTTAGACTCTGAGACTTACTGCTAAATAAGCCCACTCTTTCTAGCTCTTTCTGAATTCTGGCTGTCTGGTTCGACTCAGATGTTCTGGCTCAAAATCATTTTCCAAGCTCACTAATTCAAACTGGCTTCTCTCAGCTTCTCACTGAATTGCTCTGCCTGGAAAAACTGCTTCCAATCTCCATGAACTGGGCTGCCCTGAGCTATGAATTACACCGTGCTGACTGCACTGGCTCTGTTGTGTTCCTGTGCTGTACTCTACTACTCTTTACCCTCTCTGTGGCACTCTTACATAGCTTCTCTTTTCTGTTTGTGCTCCTGAGTTGGGCATATATTATTTCCGACTCACTTTGTCAAATCGTTTTCTGATTTTTCACTTTGTCTCTCAATTAGATGTCATTGTTTGGAATTAAAGGTGTGTACCAAAGGCTTGTCTGTATTCCAGCCAGAGGGACTAAAGGTATGTACTAAGGGCATGTCTATATTCTAGCCAGATCACATAGACCTAGGTCTCTGGATGTATTCGCTTGCCAGAATAGCCATATTATTGAATTGAAATTCCTCTACAAATGTTGATTTTATTCTCACTAAACCGGAAAGGTAACAAGTAACTAGGTGAGTTTTTTTCAAAAGGTGTAGATGACTTACAAAATCCAAGTTAAAAAGAACATGCCAACGCAAAACAAATACCTGTGTCAGGAAAGTGCATAGCAGGGAGATGAAATTGTTGAAAGCTATTTCTCTCTTAAAAGGGTACACACATTATACAAAATAGAGATATAACAGGTTCAGGAATGTCTTTCTGCTTCAGACATTTTATGATGGTGATTGCATGTGTGTGTACATACGTGCCACAACAGTCAGGAAAGCTCTATAGAGTTGGTTCTTTCCTTCTGCCATATGGACTCTAGGGATAAAACTCAGATCATCAGGCTTGGTGGTAAGTGCCTTTACCCACTGAGACATCGTGCTGCCCTCCCCCGCTACCAGCTTCTTTTACAATTAACAAAATTCTCCACAAAATATATGTATTAATAGCAGCTATAGAACCTCAGGAATTTTAGTAACAATGTCACGTCAATTACTTCATACCAAATCTCTCCGATTTGTTGTTAATCTCCAACTGGGCACATCTCAGACCAAACCAACAGATTTCTTTGTCGGTTCCTTCCTCTGCTGTGGCAGCGATATTAACATTCTTCCCAGTTGTTCAGGGTGCACAGGGATGAGGAAAGCGGACAGGCTTTCTGAGGAAAGTGGACAGGCTTTCTGACGCAGGTAGAGCTGGACTCCTGTGCTGCCTCTGAGGCGTCAGCAGGCAGGTGAGCGCTTCTGAGCCTGTGAAGATGGAGTGAGAATGCAAACCTTAGAGCAGCCGGGTGAGGGCTGTAAGGCGCTTTCTGATAAAACGCAAGCTAAAATCACAGCAGATCATGTTGCAACCTTTCCTCTCTCTTTCTTCTCTTCCAAATACACAGTCACCGACAATGCCCTATCATTTGTCACAGTCTTCCATAGATTTCTCTGCATTAGTCATCTTCCTGTGACTGCACTGAAATATCTAATATCTAAGTACATGTAATACTTATAAGAAAAAAGGTTTATTAGCTCAGATAAATGATAAGGTTCATGAGCTCATATATTAGCTCCTGAAGGTTCCAGTTTAGGCTCGGAAGCCCCATTAGTTTGGGCCTGTGGTTAGGCCCTGCATGGCAGTGGTGGAGAGCGTAACCTTGAACATACAGTTCACACCGTAAGTGGGAAATACAGAGTGAGAGGCCCAGGCACCACAATTCCCTTTGCGAGCTATGCCTCCAGTGACTCAAGGGCCTCCTTTCGGGCCTCCTGTTCTAATGCTTCCACTACACTCAATCCCAAAACACTGGTTTTGGGACTGAGTCTGCCGTGTATAGACATATGGGAGGGACTACTCATATTTAGGCCTCTGAAGAATACCCATTAGCTTCTTCTGTCACATTGAGATAGTGTAGATATCTCTTGGCTAGCTTCTGTCCCATCTCTTTCTTTCTTCAAATAATTCCCCCTTATAATATTGAAGGACAATTCTGAAGTTTTCTAGAAAATGGATTTATGTATGCCATTTCTTGCATTGGAATCTTATTGACCCAATTTCTCAGTCCTGTTGCAATGGTTAGTGTCAACCTGAGCACATCTGAACTGACCTGAAAGATGACGGACATGTGGGCACATGCATCGGGGAATTGTCTTGATATGTGAATTGGTGTGGTTGGACTCCGAAGGTGGGGATCTTGGGTGTTAGTAAAAGGTGTCAAACCTGGGCCAGCATTAGGATGCATCCACTCATCACTGTCTTCTTCCTGTGCACTAATGCAGCTGGTCCATGCTCCTGCTGCCTCTACTTCCTCATCAGGGAAGACTTTACAGCAAACGGTAAGCTGAAGTAAACGCTGCTCTCTTCATTAAGTTGCTTATTGAGTATTTTTAACAGAGCAACAGATAAGGAAACCTAGGTACATCTCCAATTGTTGATTTAACTTTCAGAATGCTGTAATTCAAATCCAGCAATCTGCTGTGTGGTGGAAAGAAACTGAGTCTTTCCATCTCGCTATAAAATAATTTCTTTGTACTGTTGGGCCTGATAAGGCCTGCTGCATATACCTAAGCCTGGCTCGAGTTTGGAGACCTGTCTTTAGCTTCCGATTTAAGAGGTGCCACTTCCGGGCAAAAGTGATTCAGCATATCCGCCTTAAAATCAACCCTGCCTGGTAACTGTTACGTAGAGTTTTGTCGCTGGCCCACCTCTCCTTGCACTACCTAACCTTGCCCTCTATGTCATGTTACTTCACTTCCTTAACCCTGCCTCCCGACCCAAACCTATAAAAAAAAAAAACCTGTTTTATTCAATAAACCAAGTTCCTGCTTTGACAGATCTCCCAGCTCGGTAGTGTTTTATTTCCTGGGGCAATCAGGGGAGGTCCGGGCCATGAACACTCACCATCCCGCTCAGCCAGGGAGGGCGTCCAGGTGGACTGGCCACCCTCCTCTCAGCTCCACCTGCCGGGTACCAACCCGGCCTTGTACAGTACATGATTAACAGCAGGTCTGCACTGGTCAAACACTGCATGTTACTAAGTGAAGTGTGTGTTGGCTGCCCTACTCTGGGGCTGGCAGAGCTAAGCCTTGGAATGCGTTCTCTCCAAGACGGTATTTATGTACTTGCGGCCTTGGAACGCCCCAGGTGGTCTGGACTAATAATGTGTTTTCTCTGCAGGTTATAAAGGTGTTCTTAGAAGACCCTCAAGTATATTATGTTTCAGTTTTTGAAAGAATTAAATAAAATATCTCCTATAAATCCATCTAAACCATGGGCAAAGTGGTTCAGTTCTTTCTTCATTTGCCCCCTATCTTGTACCCATTTGTTCTCATTTAATCTTGGGTGGCATGAACAGCATTCTCAATGATTCAACACACTCAAGGACTGTTTTTTTGTTTGTTTGTTTGTTTTGTTTTGTTTTTGTTTTTAAATCACTTACGTGTAAGAGAACAGAGTTATTCATAATTTCAAAAACTGAATAGGTATCAACATGGCCTTCGGTAGGAAAATGCACAAGTGAGCTGAGGCTTCCAGAAAATAAGCTATTATTTAGTGCTAAAAAGCAATGAACTACCAGAACATTACGGTACATGGAGAAATGTAGATGGATAATCAAAGCATTTGGTCTGAGTATAGGAGTCTAGCTATGACATCCTGGAAAAGGCATGCCCGTGGAGACAGTGGCTCTATCGGTGGCTGACAGGGCCTGGGGGAAGGCGGTGCAGAGGACTTCTAGGCAGCAAGCACTCTGTGTGATGCTATGATGAGAGCACAAGTCATTCCATTTCTGTCCGAAGCTACACATTAGGCAACAGCAGTGGCAAAGAAATTACCTGATACTTTCATGTATCTCAAGCCCACACATGCACATCCACCCCTACTATCTACCTACTGTACCACAGGGGCATGTTTTCATAACTTACGACTTCCCCTTAATACTGACATTGTAATTCAAACCTTGTAGCTTTACATCAGAGGCCTGTGTTTTTTAATCTTTAAGAAACGATTTGTTTATGTTTATATTTATATGAGTGTCTTGCCTGCATGCATGTACATGTGCCACATGCATGCCTGCTGCTGGCAGAGAGTAGAAGGAGGCCTGGGATTCCTGGAACTGTGGTTACCGCTGGCTGCGAACCACCCTGTGAGGACTGGGAACTGAACTCGGGTCCTCCGCAAGAGCAGTAAATGCTCATATGCAGCTCCTTTTCTTTTTTTAGCTCTATGTTCTAAGCAAAGTCCTGCCTGGTTACAGGAGATAGCCAGAAAGACCTGAGAGCTCGAGGCTTTGCGCTGGCCATGGGCTCCCAGCCTCACGCGCGGCCAGTCCGGGAGAGGTTAGAAAGAGCCCCTGAACAGGGCAGTCAGAATAAGCGAACACCAAGCGCCAGGGCGGAAGGACCAGGGCTGGATGTGGTGGGGAGAGAAGCGGCACACGGTCCTTACACGTGCATGTCACTCAGGGAGGAAGGTGCTTGGTCTGATCTGCCTGGCGCTGACTTATTTGTCCCAATTAAGTTTGAAGAGGGCTGTTTACCTCCATTGGGTTTTACATGGCTGTTGCTGGTGTCCGTTTCCTGTTACCTCTGAGTGGGTTTTTATGGAGAGAAAGAAACAATCCGAAGAGTACTGTCTCATTACAAGAATGAAACGAGGTTGTGGGCCTTGGCTTTTCTTCACAGTGTATATAAAAACAAGCATTTTTTTTTCACGTTTTTATCAAAATGAAAGGTGATGGGCAGTTTATGATACTCTTATAAGCAAGCACGTTAGTTCCAAGACCAAGAAACTTTTGCATAGAGGCAATCATGCTATGTGTTTTCTTCCCAATAAAACTTTTAAAGCCCTGTACAACAAGAGGCAAAGGGTGAGGGCTTTGTTCCCAGTCTAATTCCACTGAGACAGTGGATTCGTGATGGGACCTTGGGTTTGAGACCTGCCCAGAGGTTACCTGCCCTGGTACTCGGCAACTCACCCCACGGCTCTCTCCACACACCTCTTTATTCCAGCATCGTAGAATCCTGGCTCCTATTTTCATCCAACATCTTCACAAGAGTGAAGGAACAATTAACGTACTATCCCTAACCCTACAGTAGCATACTATATAATGCTCAGATCCTGCTGACCTTAGTTTATATTAGTTTTTTTGGGGAATGTATTGAATTGATTATTAATGAAAAAAATTATATAACTTTATGTTGGCAGTCGGTTTTCCATGATCTGAGGACCTCTGAACAAGTCACAGTTGTGATATTATCCTCTGTGATGTCTCTGTTTTAATGTTATACCTTGGTGGCTGTAAAAATTGGCAGTATCCATAATAAAAACTGTATTACAACATAAGAGTATTATAGCATACAATATAAGAGTATTATAGCATAGTGATTTCTTACTGAGAACCTGTGATGGGCAGTGTGACAATCCCATTTCCTGTAGGATCTTGTGGTTCACAGCAGCCATTAGAACTGCAGACGAGGACCAAGTCCTTGGGAGTGTTCTGTGGTCTCATACTTGCCAACTGCTCACAGATAATCAATGAGAGATTGTGCATCTGACACAGAATCAGCTTGCATGGGTCACAGAACCAAGGACTGTCTCAGCATGCTTAGCTTATCTCAAGATTTGGGGAAATATGTTTCTTTGAGAAAAACCAGCTTGTGTGAGTCATTTGCTTACCAGCACGCTGCCTTAGATAATCGAACTCTTCAAACGATGTTTTCTTTTATTTATTATACATTTCTGTAGGGAAAGGCCCATTTTTATTAAACGTTTAAAATTGCATTTATTTAGAGTTAATCCCTGTGTGTGTGTGTGTGTGTGTATGTGTGTGTGTGTGTACACATATGCACTGGTGCCACAGCATGCATGGAGAAGTCAGAGGACAACTAGCATGGGTCTATTTCCACCACATGGGTCCTGAGGAAAAAGCTCAGGTCACAAGCGTCACCGTCAAGCACCTTGCCTGCCGAGCTATCTTGTGGGCCCACTTTACATCTTATGTACTCCACAATGACAAATCAGGAACCTTGGAAATAACTGACAGAGCATTTGCTACGTTTGCTTCTATTGATTTATTTGCCTGCGTCTACTTTGAAGATCCCTGCTTACTTAGCCAAGGTCATGCCCTGATCCTGACACCAGAAACCCTCTCACTGGGTTGAACTTGGCTTGAGATATGATACCAGACTGTTATGAAAGCTTCAGTTGGTGTGTGGTTGGTTAATAGGATACATCTAAAGAACAAGAAAATAAATAATCCAGCAAAATGCTTTGCTTTAATTGAAGAAAATTCTAAGAGTTGATGGCCTTTCTGGCCTTTGTTTTAAGTGAAATTTTAATCTCAGCTACTACTGTGAAAGCAGGCCATACACTATATGACACTCTATTTGTAATTTCACAGGGAAAATTAGTTTCTGTTCAGGAAAAAAAAATACTTTTTATAAAATGCCTAGCCTCAGGGTGATGCCACCAGGATAGCTGCTTTTACTTCTGCTCATCAGACTTAGAAAGGCAGTAATAAAAATAAAGCTATTTCTTAGCACAGTGGAATGGTGGGGTGGCAGTGGTTGGGATGAATTCTGAGGCTGTGAACAGAACAGGCTCAGACAAACGAGAGCCATCCTTGCCTGTGATTTTTAAGACAGGTAGGACAGAGACCAGAAGCTCATGTGTCTTGCCTTAGTTTACCAGACTGAGGAATGTCTGGAGGAGCTTGTTTGGCTCATGGTTATGGAGTCTGGGAAGTTCAGGAGTGTGGTGGCAGCATTTGGTGAGGGCTTCTGCTCTACATCATAACACAGAGGGAAGGAAAGACAGCACGCACAAGACAGAAGTCAGACCAAACCCACCCGTGTAGTCAAAAACCCACGCCCATCATAACCAACTGGCTTTTGTAAAGACACCACTACTCATCCATAAACCCATTAAAGGTGTCACTTCCTCAGATTGTTAGTGGCTGTTAAATTCCAACCTAGGATCGATTGGGGTCCATCAAGCCATGCACATCTGCACCTGTGTTTTGAGTTTGTTCTTTGTAGCCGTAATAGCTTACCTGAGTCTTGTTTTTTTTTTCTGCTTTTCCTTTTTTTATATATCTTATGTAATATCTTATGCCTGTAAGATATTACATATGGTTATGAAAGGGAGAGAAGGCAACACAAATGCAAAATACCAATTTCAAATCTTAGTTTTATTATGATAGAATTTTAAACTCTTAAATTTAATGAGAAAATACAAAGGTGGTTGATGTGAAAATTGGAGGACGGGAGCTGCTGGGTCACAAAGCAGACACCACTAACCTGTGTTGTATGTGTCTTGCAAGCCAGCAC